ATTTTATACCCCGGGAATCGCCCCATCCATTCACCATCCGCCACAGCCCGATCCAAGCGCTCTCGAAAGTAGATGCCAGAATCATGACTGTTATTTCGCGCCATGTGAACACGCCACCTTCAAAGCCTAAATCATGCAACTCACAGTCCTCCAATGCCTCCCGAAACTTGTCCATACAAGATTGAGGGCGTGGAATGCCTCCTTCCTTTTCACCCAAAAGGAGAATCTCATTGAAATCTCCCAAGGTCTCCTGCGTGCTACATTTAGAGTCCGCAACGCACGCCAAGAAATCTCCTTCTCTAAACAAGGTTCACCATAGAATCCAGTAAATCGCCATGTACAATCTAGAAATAGCACGGACATGCAAGTTAATCTCCTTCCTCCGAAAGACTGCAAGGCCACCACTTTTCCCCTCACAGCTTTTTGCCAAACAATTTGTCAAACCAAGTTTCCACCGAAAGCCTTGAACCTTGTCTCTGTCCATTTTAGTTTCTGACAGAAACAAGATGTCGGGGGCCTCCTCTCTCTGGACATCCAGAAGGCCTCTCACTGCCAGGCCGTTCCCCAACTCCCGGCAGTTCCACGCTATAATCTTCATTGGGTCCCACGAAGCTGGTCCGCAAGCCCCGCTTCATCAACAAATTTCTCCAAATCACCATCCATCAAGTCCACCACTTTCGACTTCTTTGTAGCCGACATCTCATTCTCCCCCAGCTCCATCTCAACATCCAAACTTCTCTTCTTAGACAAAAAGTTAACTGTTTTCTCCAACGATATCCTCCTTGGTTCCCTCCCATGCATACCTCCTAAATTCCCGAGAGGCAATAGCATGTGCTAGCGCCAGCTGAGGGTTTTGCTCCAAACCTGTACCCACGTTCACTCCCTGCATGGTCCTGTTCATCCCCCTAGTACCGTATTCTGTGCCAATGTGCACCTTCTTCCTCTCTGCATCAGACAGCTGCAATCCCTTCATCAGATCCTCCATCTTCTCCATAGCGCCCTTCTCGGGAGACGGCAAAGTGCCGCCGCCCCCTAGGGCACCCCAACAGCGGAAACAAAGGCTTAGCAGAACTCGAGGTTGGGCTCCGTATCGGAGAATCTGACTATGGACGCAATTGGAGGATGGGAATGTGGACTCAAAACACTGAGATCAGCACGAGATCAGGGCAGGAACAAGAAGATCGGAGGAAGAAAGATGTAGAAAACCAAAACCACTGTGGGAACGACTCGAGTCGCCTTGGCGCCGAGACAAAACCTTTGCCAGAAGAAGACTTTATGTTTAGGTTGGCGTTGTTCCACAACCAGGAATAAACAATTGGGATATCAACATGTCCTATTAGTGAGTGATAATCTTTTTGCAAGGAAAAGAGAGGGGAGCCCCATATATGCGTCCACTAATCAAAGGTATTCGAAAGAGTAACAAGATCCAAAGATTGTTGGAGCTTATTATATCGCTGAAAGGCAATCACCCAGAGGGGTAGATGAAAGAAGGTCGGGAGATTAAAGGAGACTGTTACTTGCTTCCCAAAGGAAAAAAAAAAGCTCTGGGTAGCTTAATTTAGGCACTCGGCCATCCCAAAGATCCTCCCAAAGACTACAAGACTTGCCATCATGAATAGTCATTGATGCCAATCCTTCGAAGAAATGTTACAAGTTCTACAAGTCCCACCGGCCACCACCAGAAAGAATCTTTTCCGACATAAAATGATCTAGATTGAGAAAAAAAGATGATGGCTTGAGCTTAATAGTTACTGATCTGGGCCTTTCAAAGCCGGCTATTTGTAGCTTAGGTAAGGTAAAGGCCATGTCGCACCTCACCACTCATCATGCCATAGCTTTGGCAGTTGGTATGGTCGCTTGGCGCTTGGTTTGGGCCGCATATGGTGTTCCAAATGTGTGACAGCCTTTTTATGTCTCGTGTAGTTGTTTTTAACCAAGTATGGGGGACCAAATGAACGCCTTAATGTGCTCCACCGGTGTGGTGCAGCCATTAGTGAATATATAGTATAACCTCTCCTTGGAGTTGTTTTGGGATCCGCAAATGTTAACGCTATTTAGTTTATACTAAGGGTACGTTTGGCAACGAGAAACATTTCAGCTTCTCACTAGAACCACTCAAATGGATGCCAACCGGCACAAAAAGAGAAACATTTAAAGAAAAATCACTTGGAACTGATTCTCATTTTTTTTTACTAGCTAGTGCCGAGAAACACCTAAAACTGACTTATCCTGATTATAGTTCTAATTTTAAAAATTCAGCGAGCTAGACAAATGGTTTTATTAAGTGATTCTAATTCAGCAGAGAAAACGTTTTAAGGAGAATCTGGATCTCTACCCAACACACCTAAAGCTGAGACAACAATAGTGTTTCCAAATTTCATGTCACATTTTTGGCGAGGCTTAGACGCTGATTTTTTTACACCGCAACGAACTTCGACGGCGCTGCACCAGGTACAGCAAAAGTGATGGGCCTCCCTTCGACTCAGAAGTTCAAAAACCTAACGCACCTTTGCACCTTGTTTCTGTTCGTTAGTAAAGATTTTCATTAGTAACGTGCACCAAAGATCTGTTACCTTTTGTCTGCATCACTATTGTGCGTTTTTTACAGCAACAACTATTCTTCTATAGTTTTACGTTTATGGCAGTTTATCAAACAACATGGAGACTCGAGAAATGATTTTTTTTATAAGAAGACTCGAGAAATGAATTTCGGACCGTCATATATCTAATGAAGTTCTTTATAGCAAAAGGTGGAAAAAAAAAGAAAACTCACCCAGGTTTGGGTAATACAGTAGTCTTGTTGGTGGATACAGACAATGGTGGGGAACCCTCACCATTGTTGTCAAGCTTTCACTGAGGACAATACTTTAATTAAAATTTGAAATGGAATGTGATTCATAAATCTTGAAACAAAAGTCAATTTCACAGAAACAAACTGGCCGTTAGAGTATTTTTTTTTTCTTAACTAGCTTGATTAATTGACTTGATTATTTCATATTAGTGTTGAAGGTTCTCTTTAATCATTATCTTTGCCCTTCTAGCTTGATGGCAGCACTGCTTTTTATTAGCTGCATTAGTCCATAGATGCTTTTCGTCCAGGAATCGGAAAAGCTACTTCACGACGGGTCGTGACACCTCGCGACCGCGTGACTCCCTCCGACCCTCACTGCCTCGTGCTCGCGTCCTGCGTGGCGCCCCCTTGCTCCCACACCCTCACCAATGCGGCTCCTCCCTCCCTCCCTCCTTCCCCGGCGGCGGCGACGCCGGCGAGGTAGGCCAGTTCCTCCTCCTCCTCCTCTTGGATCTGGGCTCACAGGAGACGAAGGTGACGGTGGCGGTGGCTAGGGTTCCGGCGAGGAGGAGGTCACCGGAGAGGGAGAATAAGACATCTCCGGTGGGCTATAGAAGGGCCCATCCGGGGGGAGGCAGGCCGGCCTGGAGGTGGGAAAGGAAGTCGGGCGATTTAGGGGGCCTGGTAGTGGTAGCGGCGGTTGGGCCATGGTCGGAGCTCGGCGTTGCCGGCGAGCATGGCCATGGTGTAGCTCCGCCCGGGTGGGGGGGGGGGGGGGGGGGGGGCAGGCGCCATGGCGCTAGGGTTCGTTAGAGCTCCGGCGAGCCCTAGCTCCTGCGGTGGGGCGGTGGCCGTCGGCAGGGGCGAGCACAACGAGGAGGACGGGACGGAGCAGCGGGGGCAGGTTGAGGGTGGCCCGGCCGGTGGCCAGGGGCGGCGGAGAGGAGGTGGCGTGGGGGAGGAAGGGAAGGCCGGGAGGAAGAGGGAGACGCGGCGCAGCCGGGTCCCATGCTCTCCGGTCGCGGGTTAGCGCTGTCCTTCAGGAATAACTAATTTATCTAAATCAGTTGTCCATAAAATCCTAGGACCTATTTATTATATTTTACACTAATTGGCCAACAAAAGAATCCTTTATGTTAACTTGCTTTCAGGGTCCGAAAATCATCACGTTAAAGACCAACCAAAAAAGGCTCCAACTTAATTATCAAGAAACAAACATCACCACTTAGATAGTCATTAACGGTTGAGGATTTATTTTGTTGGCTATCCCTTTCATGCAGTCCATTTTCTACCTCCGTTTGTGTTTTGATTCCGTGCTACAGTCACTGTCGCTGTGTTAGATGGAGCTAAAGCAAGGGGAATCGAAGAAATTTGGTGTCATGTTGAATGGTCGGTTTTCACCGTTACCTGCGTCTCATCGGTTCTACAATCCTACGCAGTGCTGCGGACCTGCAGTGCCTATCACGCGGTGAGAAGTGAGAACACTGGCGACAGTGATCTACTAAAGCAGATAAGGCCCCGTTTAGTTCCGAAAATTTTTGGCTTTTGGCTACTGTAGCACTTTTGTTTTTATTTAGTAAAAATTGTCTAATTATGGACTATTTAGGTTTAAAAGATTCGTCTCACGATTTCTCGGTTAACTATGTAATTAGTTTTTTTTCGTCTACATTTAGTACTCCATGCATGTGCCGCAAGATTTGATGTGATAGGAAATCTTGAAAATTTTTGGTTTTTTTGGCTGAGGAAGGAAGTCGTAAATCGCCCCCTTTTTTTTTTCAGGACTCCCGTGCCTTTCAGCAGCGCACTAATGACGGAATGTCACATGTGTACGCCTTGACATAGTACCCGATAAAGCGGAATCTTTCTTCCTTGTTGCCGCTTGCAGTTTGCTGCCCAAGGTTCTGATTTCTGAAAGACTGAAACCTCTGTACGCTAAACCCTGCATTTCCGGGTGGAATTTAGTAGTTAAATCCCACACTTGTGCACAGCACTGAAAATCTTACTACTAGTACATAGTACATAGGAGTAGTTGCATAACATGTTACTCATTCTAAACGATTGCACTCTTATTTACACTTGAAGGCTCTCCCCCAGTTTCCCTCAATACATGTCACTCCGTTTTCAGAACTACAAAATGCCTGAACGACTGATATATACACATAGAACACCTAGCTCCTCGTCGAAGTGATGATTGGATGACCTCAGCCGCTCAGCGCGGTTCGATCATTGTGATGGAGACCTCGTTGATGGACTGCAGAGACGTCGTGGACTCGGTTTTCGTCGTGAGTGGCGGCGCCAACAAGGAGATGTTCCTGAGCCGCGTGAACAAGGGCGGCATGGCTGGTTCAGGGAGCTTCATGTGGTCGCTGATGAGCATGAGCAGGACGTTGGACATGGTCGGCCGGACGTCGGGGTTCTCCTGCACGCAGAGCAGGCCGACGTGGTAGCACCGCCACGCCTCGTCCTTGGAGTAGGACCGCCCCAGCGACGGGTCCATGAACTCGCCGGCGCGATCTTCACTCCACAGCTTCCATGCCTGCCAAGTGTCAAATTGGTTCAGATCACAGAATCTGAATGAATGTAGTGATGAAGCAGTGACGAGGAAAGGAAATGCAGGTAGCTAGCTTCAGAACTAATGGTACGGTAGTACATCTTGGATGAGGGACTGCTGGTGCTCCTCGAGGTACAAGGCGCCGTTCCGCTGCCCGCTCAGGATCTCCAGCAGGAGGACTCCGAAGCTGAACACGTCGGACTTCACCGAGAAGACGCCCTCCAACGCGAACTCCGGCGCCATGTACCCGCTGCATGCATCGCACGCATTTGCAGCGCAGTTGGGGGAAATGAGCAACACGTACAAACATAGGCAGAACGTAAGGCATTTTAGGCTGCGTTCAGTTTAATTTACTAGGTGCCGACGACGCGGCCCGTGTTGATCCCGTCGGTGTCCTCCTCGAAGATCTTGGCCATGCCGAAGTCGGAGATCTTGGGGCTCATCTTGTGGTCGAGGAGCACGTTGCTGGCCTTGAGGTCCCGGTGGACCACCTTGAGCAGCGAGTCCTCGTGGAGGTACAGCAGGCCGCGGGCGATGCCCAGGATGACGTTGTGCCGGGTGCTCCACCCAAGCTGCGCGCTCTTGCTCCGATCTGCAGACCAGCCAGCATCTCATTAACTTTACTACTAGTACTACTGCTGATCAACCAACCATCTTGCTTGCCAAATCAATACACCTCACAAGCGCAAACCAAATCAGTTGCTGTGAGTGATCACTAATTTAATTTGGATGGTGGTAGCACAATTAATGGTCTCGTTGCGCTGTGTGCATCAAGTTACTCAGTAATAGTACAGTCAATCAGCCTCGAAATTAATTAGTGGATGAGCTCGTACTAGAGACTACAGAACATGGAATTTATGGCGTGATGACCCCACGCCCACCTACCGTGAGAGTGAGAGCTACAGCTACGTGGCCATGGTTCCTGGCGCCGGCCGGACCGGAACAGTGGATGATGACAAGGAGGAGAGCAGAGCAGCGTTCGCTGGTGGTGGTTGTTGGTTCGCTTGCTTACCGAAGAGGAAGGCGTCGAGGCTGCGGTTGGGGAGGTACTCGTACACCAGCAGCTTCTCGTCGCGCTCGGCGCACCAGCCCAGCAGCCGCACCAGGTTGCGGTGCTGCAGCTTGGCGATCAGCTCCACCTCGTTCCGGAACTCTGCCGCGCCCTGCCGCGACCGCGCCGACAGACGCTTCACGGCGATCTCCGAGCCGCCGCTCAGCACGCCCTGTGAATTATTAGATTCAGCAGGCACGCCAAGCAAAGCATATATGAATCAACAGACTAAACAACTGGTGCTGAAACTGTGGCCACAGCGATCTTGGGTTGATTTCTCACTCTGTAGACGGGGCCGAAGCCGCCCTCGCCAAGCTTGTTGGCCTTGGAGAAGTTGTCGGTGGCGGCGAGGATGGAGGCGAGGTCCATAAGCGGCAGGTCCGAGCTCGACCGCGGCCATAGGCTGTCCAGCAGAGATCTCCGGATGGCTGGATTAAAAAAAATCACCATTCACCCAAAATCGAACAAAGTGTGGAAAGAAAACACAAAGCATAGAAGAAGATGGTCACCATTGCGCTTCCGCCACCGCCAGCAGTAGACACAGTAGAGCAGCGTGCAGATGATGACCGTCACCAGCACGCCCACCATGATCCGCATCGCGTCAGGACTGGAGCCCGAGCCGTGCGACGCCCCGTCGCTCGCCGGCGCCGGGGCCGTTCCCAACAGCCGGCGGTGGCCACCAAGATGACCCTCCGGCGCCATGCTTCTAAGTTCTACCAGCAGAGACTTGTCCGATCCTGCTTTTTTCAGTCTCTCTCGGCTGCCCCTGGGTGCGTGCACCGTTGGAAGAAACCGGCCGGTGGAGTTGTTGGGGGTACGGGCGGCGCTGAAGTACCATGGACCAACAAAGTGTGGATGGACGATGGACCAACAAACCTGTCCTGTCAACAAGTGAGTGTGTCACCCGTCGCGTTTGGCCCTTTTGTCCTGTCAGCACCTGCAGTCGGCGGATACGTTTGACCCAGCGACAGGTGATGTACGCGTCCATCCGTAGCACGAGCTCGCTTGCGACGGGCAGGGAAAAAATGACCTCAGTTTCTAGAACTCCTTCTCTACTTTATATATATATATATATATATATATATATATATATATATATATATATATATATATATATATATATATATATATATATATATATATATATATATATATATATATATACCCCTTATTGATTGATTGATTGGAACCTGGTGTCTCTTCTATATATATATATATACCCCTTATTGATTGATTGATTGGAACCTGGTGTCTCTTCTACGCGCGTGAAGCTGGATGTTATATAAAAAGGTCTCTCAAATTCTTAGAATCAACCTGGATAATATTTTGCGTATAGAAACTTAAATTCATTTTAATAACATAAATAAAGAAGGCAAAAAAATCTAAAATCAAGTCGTGTTTCCCGGAAAACCTTATCTTTTTTTTTCAGAAACGCCCTCCCACCCTGCAGCCCTCACTCGATCGCATCACCCCTCTCTTTTACGACCATGTTCGCTTGTCTTATAATCCGTACTTTTATGCTGGTTTTTCAACTGGAACAGTATTTTTCTCTCATAATAAATCACAGCTTGTTTTTTCAGCGAAGCGAACCGGGCCTATGTCGTCTCCTCTCCAGTCATGGCCATCCTTCCCTGCCTCCTCCCCGCGCAATCTCCACAACACCATCCCTCAAGCATGGAAGCCACGCAGCTTCTGCGGTATGATGGGGCACGTGAAGCCTGCTAGTAATCCTAGCACATGAGTCGGTCGGTTAGTTAGCTTTGCATGTTTACTTTCTGTTATGCATGCGCACGAGCACCGTCATTCTGTGGTCGCCGTGCGTGTAGGGGAAGTGGCCGAGAATAGCTCGCCATAATCCAAGTGATCGGGAGTGGGCGACGTCGCACGCGTGGGGATGGACGCGCTACCAGGCGACGTGCAGTCGGCCTCCGAGAGCTCTGCTCTCTCTGTTTTTTTCATACAATAAAAGAACTCAAGATCAGAAAATGCTGCGCTTTCAGGCAGCACCAAAATTCACCGTGTTCCAGTTTTGTGTGCGTTGAGTTCTTGTCTTCCTATGTTCACCTCCAGCTTCTTGTCCTTGCCGTCGGCGTTCACCGCCATCTGTTTCTAACAAGTGGTATCAGAGCTAGGTTGTGAGGAATCCCGTCGTCGCCATGGTGTCTCCAACGAGACCTCGTGGCCGTTCACCGGCCGGGAAGAAGAACGATGGTTCCAGCGGCTCAGGCGTCAAGACGCCGCAGCGCATGCTTCGCCGACCCATTCCCCTACTCGCCGTTCACGCACGCGCGACGCACGTCGTTCGTGCACCCGCGACGCACGCCGTCCGCGGGAAGTCATCGTCGAGCGAATCATCCGGGAAGGCAGCTCCGGCAACTGGCCGCAGTTGACAAAAACGAACTACCATGAGTGGTCGCTTCACATGCAGCTGAAAATGCAGGCGCGCCACCTGTGGGACACCATCGAGTATGACGACGTGGACTACGACGACGATCGCAGCGCGATTGACGCGATCTGCAGCGGCGTTCCGGCGGAGATGGTCCCCATCCTGGTGGCCAAGGCGTCTGCAAAGGAAGCCTGGGAGGCCATCAAGACCCTCTGCATCGGCGACAACCGGGTGCGGAAGGCTACGACACAGAACCTCCGGGCAGAGTACGAGGCCATCGTCCTCCGCGACGGCGAACTGATTGAAGACTTCGCCCTGCGCCTGACAGGGATCGTGCAGCGGTTGGCAATGCTTGGTGATCCTGAACCCGATGAGAAGGTCGTGGCCAAGTACCTGCGCGTTGTGCGCCCGCGCTACAAGCAGCTGGTAATCTCCATCGAAACCCTGCTTGATATCTCACAGCTGTCGATCGAGGAGGTTACAGGGAGATTGAAGGTGGCTGACGACGTCGAGCCGCCTGCACAGAAAGCTGCCGGCGACAAACTGCTGCTCACTGAGGAGCAGTGGGTGGAGCGGTACAAGCAGAGAGGCCAGGAGTCCAGCCGTGGTGGCTCCGGCGGCCATGGCAAGCGCCGTGGCAGGGGCCATGGACGCGGCGCCAGCGGCAACAATGACTCGCGAGCGAACTCCAGCTCCGGCCGTCCAAGTCCAGATGACCCCTGCAAGCATTGCGGGAAGAAGGGGCATTGGGCCCGTGACTGCCGTAGCAAAAAGGAGGAGTAGGCCCACGCGCCCCAGGACGACGAGCCCACTCTAATGCTGGCTCTCGATTCTATCCACGAAGTCACGTTCCCCTCCGCAAAGCTCGTACAGGCGCCGTCGTCGTCAGCGCCCACGCAGCCGTCGCCGACTCCAGCGCCCGCGCAGCTGCCACCGGCCCCAGTGCTGGTGCAGGAGGCGCCAGCTCCACCTCTCCCTCCAACTCCGGTGATTCGGGATGGCGTCGTCCTCCACCTCATCGAGAAGAAGGTCTTCGCCGCCCTTGACGCCGTGGAGGACCGAGATCCGAAGCGCTAGATCCTGGATACCGTCGCATCCAATCATATGTCGAGATCGCACGCCGCCTTCGCCGACCTCGACATCGGCATCACTGGCACCGTGCGCTTCGGGGACGGCTCTGTCGCGTGAATCGAAGGGAGCGGCACCGTGCTCTTCTCCTGCAAGAACGGCGAGCACCGGTCACTCCCCAACGTCTACTACCTCACGCGCCTCACCGCCAACATCATCTCTCGTCGGCCAGCTCGACGAAGGCGGCTTCCAAGTGCTTGTGGAGGAAGGCGTGATGCGCATACGCGACGAGGAGCGCCTCCTGCTTGCGAAGATACCACGGAGTCCAGGCAGACTGTACGTGCTCGACGTCACCACAGCACGCCCAGTTTGCCTGGCCGCGTGCTCCGACGCCGCCGCCTGGACGTGGCACACGCGGTTCGGCCACATCAACTTCGTCGCACTACGCAAGATGGCGTGCGAGGGGCTGGTCCGCGGTCTACCCCTGCTCAGCTAGGTGGAGCAGGTTTGCGAGGCGTGGCTCACCGGCAAGCAGCGCCGGGCACCGTTCCCACAGAAGGTGCTCGAACATTCGACAGAGGCGCTGCAACTTCTCCACGGCGACATCTGCGGTCCCATCACGCCTGCGACACCCAGCGGCAATCGGTACTTTCTTTTGCTCGTCGATGATTTCTCACGGTATATGTGGATCGCCCTGTTGCCGAGCAAGGATGCCGCTGCTGCCGCCATCAAGAACATCCAAGCTGCGGCCAAATGCAAGACCAGGAAGAAGCTGCTCGCCCTGCGTACCGATCGCGTGGGCGAGTTCACCACGACGGACTTCATCGACTACTTCGCCCACCTCGGAGTTCGGCGTGAGCTCACGACGCCGTACACGCCCCAACAGAATGGCGTCATGGAGCGCCGCAACCAGACCGTCGTGGGCACGGCTCGAAGCATGTTGAAGGCCAAGTCCCTTCCTGGCGTGTTTTGGGGAGAAGCCATGGTGACAGCTGTGTACCTCCTGAACCGGTCGTCATGTAAGGCCATCGGGGGAAGGACGCCGTACGAGCTGTGGACCGGGAGCACGCCGGTGGTGCATCACCTCCACACGTTCGGGTGTGTCGCTCACGTCAAAGTGACCACGCCGAACCAGAAAGAAGCTGGACAACCGCAGCCGGCGCATGATCTTCGTCGAGTACGAGCCTGGCTCCAAGGCGTATCGCGTTTATGATCCAACGACATGGCGCGTCCACATCAGCCGTGACATCATCTTCGACAAAGCAGCACAGTGGGCGTGGCCCGCTGAACACGACGTCGACCCCAGCGACTTCGTCATCGAGGAGACCGAGCCCTTGGAGCCCGCGGTGATCACCACCACAAGTGCAGTGACGACGCGCGCTCTAGCTGTGGACTCAGCACCAGGCTCAGCTTCACCTGCTCCATTAGTAGCATCACTGCCACCAACCATGCACCCGTCTGTGGTGACCCCTATAGCCAGTGGCTCTGCGTCCGTGACGTCGAGCCCGGCGCCACACCAGAACATCAAGTTCGTGTCACCGCCGGGAACTAGAGCCAGCGAACAGCTGGACGCCGACCAAGAAGACGACGCACCTCTCCGGTTCCAGTCAGTCGACAATGTGATCGGGCCGGCCTCACCATCGGGGCTTGCTGACCAGGAGCTGGAGGAGCGCCTGCTGCTTGCAAGCGACGCCGAGCCAACCTCGCTCGAGGAGGCGCTATGCCATGAGTGCTAGCGCCATGGTATGCTGGATGAGATGACCTCCATCGAAGCAAGTGGCACGTGGGAGTTGGTTGAGCCATCGCCCCGCACCCGGCCAATAGGCCTCAAGTGGGTCTACAAGGCCAAGAAGGATGCATCTGGGATCATCACCAAGCACAAGGCCCGACTGGTCGCCAAGGGCTATGTTCAGTGCTAAGGGATCAATTTCAATGAAGTCTTCGCTCACAGGGCTCGCCTAGAGTCCGTGCGGCTGTTGCTTGCGCACGCCGCGTGCGAAAGGCTGGGCTATCCATCACATGGACGTCAAGTCTGCATTCCTGAATGGTGTGCTGCAAGAAGAAGTCTACATCAAGCAGCCCCCTGGCTTCATCCTCCGGGGCCATGAGCACAAGGTGCTCCACCTCGTCAAGGCACTTTACGGGCTCTGGCAAGCCCCACGAGCATGGTACGCCAAACTCGACAAGTCCCTGATCAGGCTTGGGTTCCAGAGGAGTACCTCCGAGCATGCTACCTCCGTGGTGCTGG